GGTTCAAACCCACCAGCCACTCCTCGGAAGGAAGGTTGGGCAATCCTACTTCCGTAGTGATACTGCCTCGGAAACCCAAGGAGGGGTCGCTATGGGTCAGGGCTGACTCGACGGCACATAACAACAACAACAACATACTGTAGTAGTCAGGATGCGGTAGAACCGAATTGTGGTTTTCTAATTAAGAATGTATTCTTGGTCTGTAGGAACAGAGTTCTGGAGTAAAGTAGCAGGCTCCCTTTTCAGAAGACACCGCCTGTCAGCTGCTGGAACACATCGATTGTATCTTCATCCTCCATTTCCAACTGTGCAGGTGTGTCTGTTTCATTGATTGGCTGCCCGTCAAATGGGAATCTGATCTGCCTCATCGACAAACCCTGTCGTTCACAATAGGCTTTCATTAGTTTACAAAGTGGTGTATGCCTCTTAATCTTAAACTGCATCACAGAACCATCCTGCCCCGCCACCTTCAAATTAATATGATCGTTGTTCTCAGTCTTGACTCCTTCCTTGGGTTTTTCGTCGCCCATGGCGAGCGCCGGAGTCTTCTCAGCTGCCGCTTCACAAAAGAGGTACCAGGTCCGCACCGAGCGAGCGCACAAGCAGCACCAGGAGCGCGAAAGGGAAGATGTTTATGTTATGGTGAGAAGCCGGGGATTTTCCACTGCCGTTGAGGAAAGGGGGAGGGGTCTGTGTTGGTTCCTGGAACTAAGGGCCCTCTGCATCCCGGTTCTGGTTTAATCTTTTACTGCCTGAAGTCTTGTTCAATCCTTCTCCCGCCTGACTTGCTGTACTCCCGCCTGACAACTTCATATTACTTGGTTCTGCAATCAACACCAATGGAAGCAGCAGTCAAGATATCAGACGACATATTACATTGGGCAAATCTGCTGCAAAAGACCTCTTTCAAAGGCTGAAGAGCAAAGAAGATGTCTCTTTGAAGATTAAGGAGCACCTAACCCAAGCCATGATATCAGTTGCCTCATATCCATTTGAGAGTTGGGCAATGAGTAAGGAAGACTGAAGAATTGATGCTTTTGAGTTGCGGTGTTGGCGAAGCCTACTGAAAGTAGGATGGACTGCTAAAAGAACTAACAAATCTGTCCTGGTAGAAGTGCAGCTGGAATCCTCTTTGGAAATGAGACTCACCAGACTCCACTGACTTTGGTCATGTTGTCAGAAGGAACCATTCCCTGGAGAAGGATATCATGCTTGGTAAAGCGGAGGGTCAGCGAAAAGGGGGAAGGCCCTCAACAAGATGGATTGACACAGTCACTGCAATGATGGGCTCAGGTATAGCCAGGATTGTGAGGCTGGCACAGGACGGAGCAGTGTTTTGTTCTGTTGTACATAAGATCACTATGGGTCACAGATGACTCAACCAACACTAGCAAGGAAACTTTTGAGAAAGAGAGTCTTTGTTGATTGCCAAATAGATGAAAAGCCAGCTTGCCAGTAAACTTGAAATTAGGTATTGAGCATTACTTATTCTAGAGCAACCAAACCCAACCCACTGCAATCAAGCCCATTCCAACTCATAGCAACCCTTTGGGAGAGAGCAGACTGTCCCATAGGGTCCCAAGGCTGTAAATCTTTACAGAAGTATATTGGCTCGTCTTCCTCCTACAGGGTACTGGTGGGTTTGAACCACTGACCTTTTTGTTTAGCAGCCAAATGTCTTACCTACTACGCCACCAGCTCTTTTATTTCTACAGCAACGGTTCTCAAAGGATGGTATCCATTAGGATCATCTGACAGCCTTTTAGAAAGGGAAATTCTCAGGCTCCCACCCGAGACCTAATGAGTCAGAAACTCTGGACATAGGCCCCTGCAAATCAGTATTTTAACAAGGCTTCCAAGTAATTCTGATTGCACACCACTGTTCTGGGGGGGAAAACATGAAAAAAGTTAGAATTGAAGCACAACCGCAACTCAGCTTTTTTCCATTGTGGAGGATTAAAAAACAGAAGGAGTAAAGAAGGATTCATTACGTAGTCTGATAACCTACCCTTCCCCACGCAGCTTTTCCGATAGATAATGGATTCCAACATTCATCTCAGGAACCGGCAAATAAGTACCAAGGGCTCTGTCGTAGGCCAAGATGCCCCTCACTATAGCTCTGCTGAGGACAGCTACGGGGATTCTCAAGGGTTAATTCCTAGGGAAAGCGCGCCCCCCTCCCCTCCGTGCATGCGCACTTGCCCGTGGGCGTAGGTGCATGCGCGCTTACGAAGTAACAAACCATAGAGCTGAGAGACCCGTTAGGTTCCTAGACCTGAGTAAGCGATGGCTGGCTCTCCAACTATGGTACGTGACTCGAACCCGAAGAACTCGTCGAAGTGCAGGTATGTCTGCTTATGGAAAGCAAGGGAACAAGGGTCGCTTCCCGAGTGGCTGCGTAGTGCAGCCAGGAAAACGTTTGCGGTTTCTTGAGTTTATAGAGCGTCAAAGCCGCGGGGGTCGCTCCTGAGCCGAGCTCCTGGACACGGCCGCCTGGTCTGTGATTCTGTTGGTTCCTGGTCAGCCTTTACTTGGCCTTGGGCACAATTGAATGAACACCAAAAGCTGTGCGGGGTGCGTGGAACTAGGAGGCGTGTATGAATTCACGTGAATCAGCCGACCACACCAGCAACGAGCAATCTGGATTTGTGAATGTTGGAGGAAGGAGAGGCGTACTTGTGGTGTTAGCGAAAGATCGGCGGTTCAAACCCTCCTGCCACTCTGCGGGAGAGACATGTGGCAGTACTTCTATAAAGACTGCAGCCTTGGAAACCTTTTGGAGCAGTTCTTCTCTGTCCTACAGGGTCGCTAGGAGTCAACTGATTCGGCGGCAGTGGGTTGGGAGGAAGGGAACGAGGAAAATTCTTGCTAAGTTCCCTTCCCTACCTTGTCTTTCTATTTATATCGCTATTTTAGTAGCATTTATTCCTATTAATGTTTGAAGATCTTGGCATAGTGCCTAAGGCACTTGACTGCTAATCAGAAGGCTAGTGGTTCAAACCCACCAGCCTCCTCGGAAGGAAGGTTGGGCAATCTACTTCCGTAGTGATACTGCTTTGGAAACCGAAGGAGGGGTCGCTATGAGTCGGTCCGACTCCACGGCACATAACAACAACAAGACTTTAGATAGCGAATATGTGTCCATCAGGAATAATGCCAGACTAGTGGATGATGGGAGGAAAAGAAATACATTTTTAGAGAAAGGCACTTGGAAATTAAATGAGATTTTGGTTTCTTCTTCCTTTCTTTTACATGTGGAGAATGTTTCCAATGGTCTAGTCTCTGAAGTTGCATCTCCCATCTCCTCCATGATTTTCTTCCAAGCCCAGCAAGTGCCCAGTTGCCTCCATGTCTCAGACCCATCCGTGGACAAGAGAAGCTTACTGAGGAAATGGTAATTCTCAAGTTGCTCCCTGCAGTGTCAAATGCCCATTTACAGCCCATGGAGATCCATTTCAATTATGAATCTCAAGAACACCGCCTTTTGTCAGGTAAGAAGCAATGTATTATGTCTTCCTCAGTGGTTTCAGGTGAGGAGCTTGCTACCCTTGCTATGCTACTGTCTTCAAGTGCTGCTGATACTCATTGCCCACACTCACTCTGTTAGGCATTACTCTTTAATGATCCACCATGAGTCACTCTGTTGTGAATTCTGGTGATCAGATTCTGATAGAAACCCCTCCGCCCCCTTTTTTTAACTCCACAAAGTGATCAGTTTTTCCCATTTAATTGCCTTCATCCTACTCTGCCAGCGTTTGATATTTCACCTTTAAATTCTAAGTTATTTTTTTCATCTTCTGGTCGTATAGTTAAAACTGTTAGAGTTTGACAACATGGATTCAAGTACTGGCTTTATCACTTAGTAGCTGGCTGTATAACTGAATAAATTACTTATATTTTTTACCATTCTCTTTCCCTGCTTGTAAACTGTAGATAATAATTCATACCTTGGAGGTTATTTTGAAGATTGTGCCAATTATCTATTACTTCTTAACAAGATATTCTAAAACCTAGTCGGAAGGAAGGTTGGGCAATCCTACTTCCGTAGTGATGCTGCCTCGGAAACCCAAGGAGGGGTCTCTATGAGTCGGGGCCGACTCGACGGCATATAACAACAACACAACAAAGTGACCTAAAAGAACAGGCATTTTAAACCGTTTTATTTTCTCCTGATTCTGTAGTTCATCAGCTTGGGCTGGGTTCAACTGCACTTTCTTCTCCTGGTCTTGTCTGGAATCATTTGTGTAGACAATCCAGTGGCTTGCCTGGTGCTCTGGTCTAAGATGATCTCAGCCACATATCAGGCTGTTGCTGCTGGTTATGTGTTTTTTAGAAGGCTAGCCAAACTTTTTCACATCTAGGTTCCGAAAGCAGAGAGGACAAGCCCGTCAGTGCTCAACATTTTTTTTTTTTTTTAATTGAAAGCTGAACAGTAGGTAAGACTGGAGAAGAAATGATGCATTTGAATTATGGTGTTGGCAAAAAATACTGAATATACCATGGACTGCTAGAAGAACAAACAAATCTGTCTTGGGTGAAGTACAACTAGAATGCTTCTTAGAAGCCAGGATGGCAAGACTTCACCTCTCATACTTTGATCATGTTATCAGGAAGGACCGGTCCCTGGAGAAAATACCGTGCTTGGTAGTAGAGGGTCAGTGAAAAAGGAACAGACCCTCAGGGAGATGGATTGACACAATGGCTGCAAGATGAGCTCAGGTATACCAACAATTGTGCGAATGGTATAGGACTGGGCAGTGTTTGATTCTGTTGTACACAGGGTCACTATGAGTAGGGACCAACTCAGCGGCACCTAACAACACTGACAAGTTTGTGTTACATTTGCTCATGTTCCATTGACCAAAGCAAATAATATGCCCAACCCCAGAGTCGTCATGGGGAGAAGACTAAACAAGGATATGGATAGTAGGAGGCAGACTTTATTGGAGACCATCACTACTTTAACAATTACTAAGTAATAAGCACTAAATCAGATCGTATATATACAGCTCTGAGCACAGACCTGGCTTGTAATAAATTCTTCATAGCCTCTGGGTAGATTTGAACTGCCAACCTTAGTTAACTATTTTGTACCACCCAGGGACTTCTTTATAAAGGGTAAACTAAAATTCACTGTCATGGAGTCAGTCCTGACTCATAGCGACCCCTCCTTGGGTTTCTGAGATGGTATCACTACAGGAGCAGATTGCCCAGCCTTCCTTCCCAGGAGTGGTTGGTGGGTTTGAAACACCAGCCTTCTGGTTAGCAGTCAAATGCCTTACGCACTACGCCACCAGAGCTCCTTTATAAAGGGTAGCCACTATTATTTTTACTGAGATAAATTTGATCCTGACTTTGTTGATATTCTGTGAGGCCTCATATGCACATTGTGTTTTAATTCTTTTTGGTTGTTGTCCTCCTGTTGCTATGCTGTTTTCTCTGTGAAATTCACCTTCCTTTGTCCCTTTCTTTCACTCGGGATTTTCTGCCTCTTTTAGCCTTGGAGCGTCTTTATTTTTTTTTACTGTATTTATTTCTCTCTTGCATTTAGAATTTGCCCTTCCTTAAGATTCTGTTCTGAGTTCTTATTTTCCCTGAGAATTTTGCAGAA